TTTATATAGTACTACTACAAAAATTAGAAAGACTACAGATAATTTATGACCTGATATTCTTTTATTTTTTATACAGCTGAAAACTTTTGTTCTTTTATTATAAATTTCTCGACTATTTTTCGCATCAATCAATATTCGTAGACTCCTCCTTTCCTCGCGGTCATCACTTCTATCATTCTGGAAATGAAAGCACTTTCAGCTACTCTTTCCACCTTCTAAAAAATATCGACAATTCTGATTAGAACTTACTTCACATCTGTAGACTTGATTAATATCACATTGTAAAACTTCAATTATACCACTTTCCATTCCACAATAGACCTAATTTAAAACAAAAAACAAAAAGAAATAGTTCAAAATCAGAAAAAAACCAATCTTATATTTATTAATACAAGATTATTTTTAAAAATCATTGAAATAATCGATTGACTTGTTGATGTTGTTAATTGTTGTATAAGTTCATGTGTTTGTATATTAAATATTTTAATAAGACCATCAAGTGATGATGCAATTAATAAATGTTGTTGTTGATTCATTGCAATATTTGTTACAGCTTTTCCAAATTCTTTATATTCATATATTATAGTACCATTAAGAAAATTATGCACAATAATTTTTTTATCTGCTGAACAACTATATAAGAAATGATGAGTTGAATCAACAATTAATTGACGTGGAGATTTTGTATGACCTCAATTAATTATTATAAAATTGATATATAATAAATAAATATAAATTCAAATTTATATTCTACCTGTTAATGTTAATCGTCGTTGTTCATTAAGTAAAGAAATAACAACAATAGAACCATCAAAAGATGATGCAATCAATAAATGACGACCATCTGGATCACGTGTAGCTGCTACTGCTGATACAACATATGGTGAACATTTAATTGTATGAATAACACACATCTGTTATACGAATAAATAATAGAAAAAGAAAAAAAAAAAAAAGATTGAATAAAGAAAACAAAATAAACGAACTTTTTTTAAAGAAATAAATGCTACTTCACCAGAACCTAATCCAACCATTAATATATGAAATTTAACAGCTGTACAATGAACAGGTGCAGCTAATGTTATTTCACCTTTTGGTTCATGTAATGGATGATCACGATATAATCTTACAGTTTGATCAAATCCGGCAACACATAATATTGTACCACTAAATCTTTTACAATGTGCAACTTGTAATGTTTGTGAACCACCATTTGGTGTAAATATTGTTTGATGACGTGGATGTTCATTAAGTGTTTGAATTTGATAAAATCGTACTTGTCCATTTAATGAACATGAATAAAGTAAACCACGATACATACGTAAACAAACAATAGGACTTTGATGTTTAGTCATTATAATACCAGCTCGTGGTTGTTGATATTTTGTACGTTGATAAGTTTTACCTAATCGACGACGATGCATCATACGCCAAACTTTATAATAATTTATTGGTGGATGATATTGTATTGATGTTATTTTTGTTGATAATAATAAATCATTATTACCAGGACGACGACGTTTAAGAACATTACCAAGAATTTCATGACCAACACTTGATCGAGCTGTTGTACGAAATAAACCTCCACATGTACCAAGTAAAAAATCAATCAATTGTGGACCGGATATAGTAATCAATTCATATGATAAATCATTATCAACTTTCTAATTTAATTTAGAGAAAACAAAAATAAAAAACATAATATATTCAATATTAACAAAGTCCTATATATGAACATCAATAGTTTGATGAGTAGTCTTACACTAACAAGGAAACATCTTCAACTGTTGGATGCTGTTCGACTTTATATTATGGCTACGAATAGACTTCGATGAGATATAACAACAACATAAAAGGATTCGAGTCTATCGTTTACTGGCAAAGAGTTATTTTTGTTATACCAAAGCATTTTGGAAAATATTAAATTTTATCTGTAGATAGAGCTGATAAGCATTAAAAAATTCTTATTATAGAATGATGCCATAGTCCAGTACGCTTGAAAGTTACAGTATTGCGAGAACAACACATTCGTTTTCTTTAAAAATTTTAGAAATTTTTAATGACTATCAGTTCTGTAAGGAAAATCATTTTTTTTTTTTTTGAATAAATTTCTAATAAATTATTGATTGAGAAATTTTTTGTATATACCTGTTCATCTGATATTCGTTCAAGTTGATCACGTACAAAGAAAACTTTCATTTCAAGTGGCATTGTTTGTTCAGATGATTTTTGTAAATTAATTGAACGTGAATGATTCATTGTATTTTTTATTGATTTATTAAAAAGTTTTCGTGTCATTTTATCCATATCTTTTCGTTCAACAAAATGATGTTGTAATTTTGATTGTTGAGCTATTTGTAAACATAATTGCGAGAGAATATCACGACCACGACGAGATGATAATGAACCAAGAAATGTACAACTAATTGAAGATGATGATGCAGTAGTTACACTAGAACGAGTAGTGTTTCCAGCAGTAACTTCCATTTCGGACATTTTTTCTTTTGGATAATTTTAACGATCCAAAAGGTTTTGATTTCTAATTGAAAACTTTTATGTCCAATCTAAAAAATATAATCGTCGATCAAACAAGAAGTTAAACTAGATCCCGTGTAATATGTAATATGAATCGCTTGTAATCTACCAATGAAACGATGCCGTCTGCCTCGATGATGTTAAACAATTAATATATCGAATTATCAAGAGTTTTTTTTTTGCATTTTAATCACATTTACAATATTAGTTAGTGTAATTTTAGATGAAATAGTATCGTGTGACAATAAAAGAAAAAGATAATTAAACTGTAGAAGAGTTATAATAATTTTCGCTCTAAAGATGGCGCACATTTCGCCAAATAATGAATATTACTACTTAGCTGATGCAATAAAATGTAATTCAATTCCTTGAACAAACATAAGTAGATAGATTTTGAAATACTTAATCACACTAATCTTATTGTCAAAAGTATCACTATTTTTGAGGATAATCTGATTATTATTGTAGACAACAAGTTTTCGATGTTAAAATCAAACTGAAATTGAAAATAAGCAAAATTTTTGCAAACGTATTTGGTAAATACATTAATCTAGGTTGCCTAATTATCAAGTTTCATATGACTATATCATGCCAAATGTATCTATATAAAACGAGACATTCTTGTCAAGATTATGATCAACAACACATTATGACATTCAATTTAATTTGCCGACTACTTATGACTATATCTGGATACTAGAACAGTAAAATGTTAAAAGATTTCATTACCGTATCCTTTGAAAACAACAAAGATGATAAGCATGCTGTTATAACTAGGAATGTTCCAGTTCGGGTATGAATAGTTGCAGTTGTGTAGCTGAATGAATGTAGAAAAGATCCACATCCTTCTTAGAAAAAAACCTATCAATATTTCATAATTAGTTTTATATTTCTGAGTGTTCCTAAGTCGCCAGCATTGAAGAAATTGGCGCCTCAGGAGACTGATTGAAAGGTTTTTGTTAAAGTTGATCGGATTTTAAGAGTATATGAAAAATATAACAGAAAACGAATGAATATTCAGAAAAGTAAATCTGGCTGATGGAAAAATAGTATCTTCAATGATCTGAATTGATAATAAAATAATGGAATTCTCGTCATTAATGGTAAAAACCAAATGAATCTTTTATCATTATTTCTGCTGTAATCATCTGTCCTACTCTATTACGAATCGATTTTTTTTTACTGTACAAACATCATATTTTGTTTTTCTAGTCTGATTTTATAAAAAAATAAATGTGGAAACCTCGGATTTAAATCCGAGAGTTATGTGTACTTCAAAAAGTGAATGAGGCAGATGAGTCATCCTAGAATGTGGAGACATAAAAATTATCCTGGCAAACTTTTTCTATAAACACTTGATTTCTATTGGCTACTGCTCAACCAATAGGATTTGGGGTAAATACAGCTCAGATTTGAACTCTTCGTCTTGATTTACCCTAAGAAAGTCTTTTTTCCTATAACTTGATTGCTATTGGTTACTGCTCAACCAATGGAATTTCGAGGCGAATGGAGCACATATTCGAGTTCTCCACCCCAGAAAACCTCGAACTATCATCTGTATGATCGGAAGATAGAGCTCTAATTGTAGATCAATTAGAGCGTGGACAAGAACAAAACCAAATTCCGTTTAATTATCTTTGCAATAGGTGAGTTAGCTTTCTTGTTTCTTTATGTTTTATATACCATTTTGTAGCTCGTGAAATTCTCTATCGAATGGTATATAATAGTTGGGGTTTTATTTAACTATGATAGGAAAAGTTGTTTACGAAAGCTGGGATCGGTCGATTTTCGCATAGGAAGCCATAGGGAAAAATGACTATTTTTGCAATAACTCACGAATGGCTCGGTCGATCATGCTCATCTTCGAACTCGACCGAGATATTGTTAAGACTAAACTGTGTAGAAAATTTCATCGTGATCGGACTCTCCTTTCAAAAGTTATCGTGTTAACGGCCGGACGGCCGGCCGGACGGCCGGACACACTGACCGATTCTAGAGTGTACTCACTTTTTGAGTACACAACAAAAATTTAAGATAATTGTTCTATATGTTAAAATAATTCTCTTATACAATCAAGATATGTCTTCTTTTATCAAGCAACAATCAACATTATAAGACTGATGATAAATCAAAATTGAGGCAGATAAATATACGTGTTATTACTTTTACTTTCTAATAACAAATTTGTATAGATCTAAAGTCCTTTAACTTATATAGAATTTCATCAGTTGTTAAATTTGATCAAAAAAAAAACTACTTTATATTGTATTTTTACCAAAATAAGAAAAACAAAAAAAAAGATGTGAGAGACTTATAATTTTAATGCTAATTGCATTATACGAATGTTTGTTTAGTACAAATCAGCATCATAAGAATACATATAGCAACAATTTCTATATAGGTAAGATATACAAAATACATAACAAACAAACAAGAAATAAACAATATCAAAATAATAACAATTTCTATAACAGATCAATATTATTGTATTGTGTAGCTACTTCAGTATATTTTTTCCCTGAGCATAACCAACAACCAGACAGAGTTGGTTGATTAAGAAATGATATGAGTAGATCTTGATTAATATTTACATTTTGTCGTATTGTATTAGTTGAATTTTGTTTTTGTTCTTCATCTAACATTGATATAACATATTTTCGTAATTTTCTTAATTCTTTTTGTTGTCTTTTTATTTTTTTTAATATTATATTAACTTTAGTTATTTTATCTTCATCAGTCATATTTGTTGATACTCTTCTTATCATATTTGTTATTTGTGAAATTCGATTAGTTTCTATTGTATCAGCTTCAAAAATCCAATCCGATGGTAATTCTTCATGATTAGTATTATAAATATTTGAAATTGATTCAGATTCAATTATTTGTTTATCTTCAATTTTATTATTTGATTGTTTTTTTTTCTTTGTAAATTTTTTCTGTAATCGTTTTCGATGTTTTAATACTTTTTTTTGTTCAACATCGGCAACATTTAATTCATTGACTAACATAACACATTGTTCATTGAGATCGTTTTGATTTTGTTGTGTTGATTTTTTAATTGTTGAAGAAATCATAAGAGGAAGACGAGATGGAGGAGAAAGTGGTGATGATAATTCTTCGACTTCATCACAATTATCAATAAGAAAACCTGAGTGAGGTAAGATGTTTGAATTTGTTCGCAAAGTTGGTTCACAATCGATGATCTAATAAATATGAAAATTAAAAAAAAAATCTATCACTTTTTTTTGTTTTTATTCGTTGTGAATTCATAAAATGGGAAAAGGAGGGGATGATATTTTATGCATTTTTTTAAAAGCGCTCTGTCAAAAATCAATTTTGGGCCACATGTATGAAAATGACATGAAATTTTCAACCCTATATCATGATGTTCAACAAACAAGAATCAAAAATAGCGGATTTGACAACTTGAAATTCTCTATGGTTATTCATTTTATAGATTTAATTTCTATTGTATTTGAAAGAGAATGTCAGATTGCAGATTCTTCATTTCGTCGGTTCAATCATGAGATTAGCCTGCTATAAACATTGATTTTTATCGTTTAGTAAACTTCCAAATACACAGTATCCTTTCTCTCAACGAATTTTGATATATACTGTTGAGTTTTGTTTAAACTTAGAATTCAATTAGATCATACTTTTTTTGAATCTTCATCCTATTCTAACTCTACCAGATCAATAATACTACCGTCCTACTGATTGACATCTACAATAAGATCCTCTAGCTACATTAAAAATCAAAATTCACAATATTCAAAAGGAGTAAGAATGTACAGTAGAAATCTTAAATTCATACAATGTTTTAGAAGATTCTAGAATAATCTAAGCACTGTTATTATTGACTTGCCTTTTCTTTCATTGCTAGGAAAACGCACACAATGATCTTTGGTTTTCCTTCTCCCATCGCTGGTTGCTAGAGCCTATGAGAGAGCTGGAAAAATCTCGATTTAAACTTATACTCTCTATTTTCATCAAAAATATGTGTTAGTTTCACAAAAATAGTCATCTATTGATAGAAATGCTTTTTTCTTTTAATATAATAGTAAAAAAGCTTAATTCAAAAAAAACGGACACTAAAGAGCTTCACATGCTCTTTCAAATAAAAAGAAGCAATTGATTACAATGAAACTTCGAGTATCTTGGGATGTAAGATCAAAAAGGCATCTATTTCAAACAGAAAATGAGGAAAATTATCAAAACCTTCAGTAAAACAGAAGGAACCAAATAAAAACTCATATTGTTGATGAAAGATTAGACTACGAACTATCTTCTATTTCGACTTTTCTGACGAAAATTGACTGATAAGGATGCTTAATATGAAATAAAACCTAAATGTATACATACGGATGGTGGTGGTGTTGGTAATAATTGTAGATTTGAACATTTGTCATTCGTTGTTGGTAGAGAATTATTAAATAAAATTCTTTCTATTGCACTAACATCATTATAATTATTAGTATCAGTAATGAAATGAAATGAACTTCCATTAAAATTATTATTATTATTATCTGTTGCATTCATTGTTGTTGATATCTGATCATTAGCAAAACGTATTCGATCAAATGTTGATGAATTTATAGAAGATTTTTGTTGTTGTTGTTGTTGTTGTGGCATACGAAGCATTGTTTCTAAATATTGTGTTTTTTGTTCAGTACTTTCATTTGTTTTTGTTTTTTTTACTGAACGTATCCATGATTCACGTTCATGTGGTATAGCTGTAAGTAATGTTGATGAATTAATTGTTTTTGTATTCATCAATGGTAAAGGTGATGAATCAGAAAAATATGAATACATATTTGAATTTGATTGTTGATATTGATATTGTTGATTTGAAAAATTTATCTGATTATTATTATTATTATTATTATTATTATGTAATCGATCATCACAATAAGATGATGAATATTGATAATGATGTTTATATTGTCGATTATTATTATCATCATCATATTGTCTATCATGATAATTTTTATTTCCATAATATGAACGATATCGCTGTTTATCGTCCATTTTATTCATATCTAATAAGTAAAGAAAAACAAAAAAAAAAAAAAAACATCTAAATATTCTTTGCTTCTTTTTTTTTTTTTTGTTGTCTGTCAGCGAGATCGAAATATGACAAATAAATTTTATTTTTTCATTAGAAAGCGTCGAACAATATAAAGAAAACCAAAAAAAACAAAACGCAAACACCGAGAACAAAAGAGAAGATACATGCACAAGAACAAAAAACATCTGTTAAAAAAAGAAAAACGAAACATAATTTATATATACATACAAAAGATTTTAGAGAATACTCTAAATTATATTCGAAATACATATAAAGAAGAACAAAAAATAGAACGCTGTACAAAACGAGGCAAAGCAAAGTATTTATTTTTCTTCATTCTAAATATTTTCGTTTTGTTTATGAGACAACAAAAAGAAGAGAGATTCTATCAACGAGAATACAAAACAAAAAACAAAAGAAGTTTATCTACAAACTAAAAGAATACGAACGACAATATTGTATTGAAATATAAGTATAATGCACAAATGGAAGAGTCATTCGTGAAGAAAAATCATTGAACGAAAAAGACAAAAATATTTTTTTGTTTTGTTTTGTGTTTTATAAATCATTTATTGATACATATCTTAAACGTTTATGTAATGATGGTGAATTTTCATCAATCATAAATGAAAAACGATATTGTTCATTATTTATTATATTTGTTTCACGTTCATAACGAACATATAAACAATCATCATTTGAACGTTTTTCAATTGAATTTATATTTGATATTTTTGGAAGAATAATAGTTGATGAATTGTTTGATGTTGAAGAAATTTGACATGATGATATGGGTTTTATTGTTGATGGTACAACAATTAATGTTTGTTTTGGTATTAATTGATGACTAGATAAAGAATCTTTTAAAGAAATTTTTTGTGTACGAAGTGGTAATGATGATGATGATGATGATGAATTAAGTATTGTATCAAATGATGGTAATGGTTCTGAAGTATTATTTATTAATGGACGTGAAATAATTTGAGATATTGAAGAATTTTGATGATCGATTGATGATAATGATGATTGAGGAGGATGATGAATTACATAAGATGCTATTGGTGATGAACGAGAATTTGAAACTAAGAAAAAAAAAAATTAAAATTAGATTTTTCTGTCGATGAAATATTGAAGATACCTAGTGATCCATAAGGGATGAAGGTTTCTGTATTCTCTCTAGTTTCCATAGATTCGAATTGAACTTCTTTTCAAAAGATTAAGCGTTTAATTCTCTACAAAAATATATACAAATGCATGTCACAGAGATGAAAGTTATCGTAGTAATACTCCAGATATAATAACATCAACAACTTTCAAGGACAAACTACAGTTCTCTTGTATGTATGTGTTTTTATATCGAACTATATAGACAAATTGTATACTATCCATTTTGTAGAGCTTCAATATTTTATTACTATATTCAAGAATTTTCAAATCGTATTGCATAAAATACAGAAGTCGCAAAAAGTTCTGTCATCAAGTAAAAAGTACTTCAACTTTAATTCTATGTGAAGGAATGGGGTCAACATAGACTTTTTCTTCAGACAAAGATATTTTAACATACAAAAAACAAATCCTATGACGTTAAACCCCCTTATTCGATGACAGCGCTCACGAGAAAACCTCTTTAGCTGCTTTCTTCCAATTTGAATGATTTTTTTTGCATATAGATACTATATAGTATTCTAGTAAAATTACGATAACGATTTGGGTTTCTATTGAAGCTATCGAATTTTTAATATTCTAAAGCTTTGATAGTTTAGTCAAATGTTAATAGAAACCGAAATATTTTTACGATTTTTATGAGAACACTATGTAGCATCTATAGACAAAAAAACCAATGAAATTGAAAAGATGTAGGTGAACAGATTGCCTCATCAGCTTTATCTTTCTCACCAATAAAAACGTTATGTCAAATGGTTTTAGTTTGTCTAATTTATGAAATAATCTTTACATGATCCTTGGTAGGAATTGTCGAAAAGTGTCCAATATCCTCAGCTAATTTGAAATTATCTCCAGCGAGTGCTCTATTTTAATCAAATTTTTATTGAAAATTTCACGATTGCAGTCATCAAGGGAGAAGAGATTCATGCTGAGATCATCGCAAATAATGGAGACTACCCCACGCCTCAGATTTACAGCACATTGAAGTGCACCATCTGTGACAGAATATAGAGATACAAATCTTTATTTGTTAATAAGAAAATGAAGGTTAATGCATTTAAATAGTGGAAAACCATAAAAGTATCAAAAGAAGCTTCTTAAAAGCGTTAAGAAAAAAATCACTGTTTTCATCATAAATTCTTGACATTAAGACCTATCGATCTCAAGTTACTGCTTGTGATAAAGATTTATCGAGCTCTATTTTTAGTCAAAATATCACGTAAAATGATTGAAGTTTATTTATTTTTTACTCAATAGCGGAACTTCTTGTGATTACTGTTAACGTTACTTTTTTTTCAAATTAAAAAACACGATTGTTTTTTTATTTGAAATAAATAACGTATATTTAGTCCTGAGTTTATACAATAAGATTTTGTTATGAAAATTCTTGAACGTAGTAATAAAATATTGCAGTTCTACACAATGGATGATACAATTTATCTTTTTGTAGTTCGACATAAAAGCACATAAATACAGAACAAACTGTATTTTATGTTTGAAAATTGATGATGCTAAATCTTTTGAAAAAAAAAATACAGAGACCCTCATTCTGTATATATCATCTATTAATTTACTTGTTGAAGTATTATTTGAAGATGAAGGTATTGAATAAGAGATAGATTGTGATTGTGAATGTTGTCCTCCAATAAAAATAGTTTGTGTTTGTTGAGATTGAGATGATGATGAATTAAATCCTCCACTAGCTAATGCAGCAAGTACAGCTGCATTTGTACATGAAGATGAATTATCAATAAAAGAATTTGTTGATAAACGTTGTTGGTGATTTATTGTTGTTGTTGGTGGTGGTGGTGATGGTGAATAATATCCATTATTTTGTAGATAAACACGTTGTGTTTGTTGATCATAATTAAGTAAATTTTCATTTTGTTGATGATGATTTGTATTATGTAAAATAGACATTGTTTGTGTTGTTAATGCATCTGTATTAAAAACTAAATTTGATGATGGTGATGAACAAATTATTTGTTGAGATGATGATGATGGTGATGATATATATTTAGATATCATTTGTCCAGATGGAATTTTATCACCATAACATTTAAGTGTTTCAGCTGATAATTCAGAAAATGGTTTATTACTTATACGTATTACTGTTTTTTGTAAAACATCATCGGTATCTTTTATTTTTATATCAGGAAATGTTATTTCAGCTTCATTTAATGAATGTAATGAACCATTTACAAAATCACGTAATTTTCTTAAACCAATATAAAATGGTAATTTATCTTCAGCACGTGGTAATTGAGAACAACGAGCACTTGATGATGGCATTACAAATACATGCTATTAAAAAATAAAATAAAATGTATTATTTCTTTTAATTAAAACTAAAACAATAAATAGAGTTTTTTTGTTTTTGACTTAATAAACGATTAGAATTCATATTTTTTAACATTTATATTAGGTTGAGATGTATGGAGACCAAAAATTTAATATAATCTGTTCAGTTAAAATGGTTCAAGCAAAGTCAAAGTTTCATAAAATATCTTTCGAGTACAAAACAATTAATTGAATTCATTCAAAAGAAAAAAATTGATATCCATTTCGGTATGTTTTCAATCAATTTTTTTTAGCATAAAGTGTTCTAAACGGGCTTCTGTTAATTTGTATCGTATTCCGAATAATCTTTTCAATACTTAAGAAAATGAAAATAATAGTAATACCATTGAAAATTAAGCAACAGCTGAATATTAATGAATCATCTTCTCTCATTTTTGATTATTCTCAATTTATTTCTAATGCATAACTGATATCTTTTAAATGAGACATTAATTGTCTTTGAATGGAAAATATTTTCAATGAAATATATAGATATGTATAACCAATTTTGTTGATGAATCTGATTTGATCCAATTTTTTTCTAATTGGTCAGCACATCTCAAAATAACACACTATATACTAATGAGAGAATATAAGTTAAGATTGTTTTACTGAATTTTCGATCTAATATTAGATATATACCGAAAAATCAAAGACCAATATTTTGATGTGAAATTTTGCTCAAAAATAGATTGAATGACCATTAGAATATCTTCAAAGTTTCAGCCGAAAAGAATATTCCCTTGTCGAGATATTCAATTTCAAAAAAAAAATAGTTGTTTGTCACAGACATATCACAAAAAATTGAATATCTTGACGAAAGAACATTCTTTTCGGCTCAAACCTTCAAGATATTCTATAGATCATTAGACACGTAAATTCAGTAAAACAATCTTAACTTAGCCATGGAGACAAATTCTTCTAGACTGATCAAGATGTCCTTGTCGACGCAATATTCTCTTACGCGTCAAGTATCAGTTCCGACAGCTTCCTCATTTCAAAAAAAAAACAACAACATAGGATGAATATAGTTAGAAAATTCATTAGAAAGATCAAGTTTATATTTTAATGTACTCGGCATAGACTTTCTTGTAAACAAAAAATAATAATCATATGGAAGTGATATCCTGAGGATGTACATATGGTAGACATATGTATTCTAATCAACCCGAAAACAAAACAAAAAAAAGAAACTCTATTTATTGCTTATTTTCTTTATAAAGATTCTTACTGTATCTGTACCAAGAAATAAATCAGGTTGTTTTCCATAATGAAAATGTTTATTACCAGCATAAACTTCATAGATACCTAAAATAATATAATTTATTTATTAATCAAAAATCATTCATGAATTATATTCAAACCTCGTCCATTAAATGCAACAATTTTAGGTCTATACATTTTAATTTTTTGCATTAAAATTTCAGCACCAGCAGTTATTTCATCTCTATATACATATATTATA